TCCAGGATAAACAACATTACATAATGATGGGTGTCAATCCTCTTAAGATGTAATTTTAAACATGTATGCTTTTAAGGGAATTTTTACATACATGTGGCAAAAGCTGATAAAATGAGGAAAAACAAATCCATTTAGTTGAAAGCTTCAACACTTCTCTCAGTGAAGATGAAGCAGAAACTAAAAAGGACACAGAACACCTGGTATTATCAAACAATTACATCTATTTAACATACGACACTTATTGAAGAGAACTGAACTCATACAAAGATATTCTTTGAAATCCTCAATAATTTTGAAATTAAGTATTTCTAAATCACTTTAAAAGGAAGTTTTAAAGGAAAATAATTTGAACAGAATGTAGATAAATCAAAATTTGTGGCATGCAGCTAAATCAATGTTTGATGGTTAGCATACAGCCTTATCAGGCCTTGCAACATTCACTTATTTTACATCAGGAGGTGGCAAACTGCACCTGCTGCTAGTTTTTTTAAATTTTACTAGAAGATAACCTGAACTGTTTGCTTATGTATTATTCATGTGTGCTTTTTTGTTACAACAGCAGAACTGAGTCAATCTGACAAACTATCCAATCTGTAGTGCTTGAAGTATTTATTGTTTGGCCCTTTACCAAAAAACAAAAAACAAGCAATGATCTAAGTTTCACCTTAAGAAATTTATACTTCTTGGAAGTCAAGGCCAGAGAATCCTAAATTTGAGGGCACCCTGGCAACAAAATGAGACTTTGTCTCAAAATAAAAAATAAAGAGCTGGGCATGTAGCTCAGCTGTCCAGTGCCCTTGGGTTCAATATACAGTATCATGAAACAGAAACTAGAAAAAGAGCCATTAAAACCAGAGCAAACAAGGGGAAGAAAATAATAAAAAGATTGTACATATCAATGAAATTGTAAAGCTAAAACCCAATTAAAGCACTTTGAAAGTCTTACTAAACATTTAAGGAATATCAAATCTACAAAAGCTCTTCTACAAAATGGAAAGGAATAATGAGAACTATCTTGGTTCTTCATTAGGCTCACACTAGTCTTGAATGCAAACATGAACACCTTCCACAAAATATACTAGCAAATTGAGTTCAGCAATATATGAATATGAAGAATATCATGACCAAGTGGGGATTCACCCTAGTGATGCACACTGGTCTCTACACTGGATCATCAATGTAATTCATACTATTAACATTCTAAGGGGGCCGGGGAGATGGCTCAGTAGAGTAAGAGCTTCCCCGGTAAGCACAAGGGCCTGAGTTCAATCTCCCGTTCTAAAGAAAAAAAAAAAAAAAAAAAAAACCCAAAAAATACTAAAAACCTCACCATCATCACAACAAATTCAGTGAAAGCACTTATAATATTCAACAATTTATGATAAAAATTCCCAGAAAACTAGTAATAGCTTTCTTAACCTAATATAGATCATTTATGTTAAGAAGCTAGAGCTATCAGATTATTACTGGTGCCCCAATGATGCTACCTCCTAATTTATGAAATCTGTGAATATTTTATCTAATGTGGCTAAGGGGAATTAGGTTGTCAATCTGCTGATCTTGAATGGGAAAAAAGTCAATCCAAGATTATCTAGATAGGTCACTGTAAACAAGGTTTTCAAAGGAGGAAGAGGGAGGCAGAAGAGGAGCTATGACCAAGGAAAGGAAGGTAGTGAAATGTAATCCAGACTTTGAGGATGCAGAAAGGGGACCATTAGCCAAAGAATGCCACATAGCCAGAAATTGGAAAAGGTAAGAAAGCAGATTTTGCTCTACAATCTCCTGAAAGGAATGCAGTTCCACTGGTAACATGATTTTTATCCTAGTGAAGAACTTATAGAACTGAGGTTAATCTATTGTTTAAGGGATACTCTTGCACTATTCTTTATCTAATACCAAAGCAGAAATCCTATTCCCTGATGAAAGTAGAAGGGGGAGTGGGAGGGGAAGATAGGAGTAGGAAGGGAAGAGAAAGGAAAGAAATGGCAGGGAGGAAAACAAAGGACATTGAGATTATAAAAACAATTTGAACTTAACTTATAGGTAACATAATTATGTAAAAATCCCAAAAAACCTTTTACATAAAGCTCCCTGAACTAAATTTGGAAGGTCATGGGGATAAAAAATCAATATACATACTTGCTGTGGTCTACCTTATTGTAAAACTCTTAAAATCCCTGGAATCCAACCTGCTAAATTAGTCTTTTCTGTATGCTAATAAGCTGCCTGGTAAACCAACATTCTTCCAGGCTGGTGACTAGAAGGGCCAAGGCTGGATTAAAAGTAGGACTTTTACCCCTACTTCCTAACTTTTGAGGGAAATGTGAAGGGCTGAAGGCTAAGTTGATCATCAATGGCCGATGACTTCATCAATCATGTCTAAGTAATGAAGCTTTCATAAAATTAAAAAAAAAATAGTTTTGGCAACTTCCTAATAGCTGAACACATGGAAGCTTCCAGGAGGGTGAGAAAGGTATCACCAAGTGCTGAGAGGGTGACACATCCCAATTCCATATGGACACATGACACTTCCAGATCTTACCCTATATGTATCTCTTCACCTGGCTATTTTATTATATCCTGTAAAACATCCTTTATAATAAAATTATCACAAGGGTTTCTTTCCCTTTGTGTAAATTAATCAAATTATAGGATGGGAACTTATTATAATATTTTTTGGCAGCACTGAGAATTGAGCTATACCCCCCCCCGCCCTTTTTATTTTGACAAGTTTCTCTTAAATTGCTAAATTGCTCAAACTAGGATCAAATTTGTAATCCTCCTGTCTCAGCCTTTCAGGGTATTGGGATTATAGGTATATACAAGTATACCCACTTGGGAACTCTGGAGGTTGGTAAAAACCAACCAACCAGCCAACCAAACAAGCAGAATAACCTAGAGCCTGTGATTGGTGGATGAAGTAGAGGTGTGGTATAGTGAGAGCAATCATTAAAGCCCCAGGCAGTGCTCTAGGCTGGTCTTTACAATGGAGCAGGTGGGAAGCTACAGTGCTGACTCATTATATACTATTATCACACTGCTTTCTATATCACACTGCTTTCTATATCACACTGCTTTCTAGGTCTTTGCTGAATGAGGGGGAAAACATTGTTTTGTCCACACAGCCAAACTACAAAGGCACAAAGTAAAGTCTTCCTTTTTTTCACATTACTAAAGGTTATACCCAGGGCACTCTGGATGAGCTACATCCTCACCCACCTGTTTTCAGCCTCCCAAGTGCTGGGATTACAGGCAGAGTACCACACCCAGTCTCAATCGCTGTCTCAGCATGCCCTGGGGGTGGGATTGAACTCCAGCTGCAGCACTCTGCCTAAGCAGGTGCTTTAGTCTGCTGAGCTATCAGGCCAGCTCAGACATATCTAATTTTTAAAAAAGGCAGTTTACATATTTCCTTATAAATATTTTAAAACTAAAGATTTAAATACATAGTTTATATTTTAAGATTTAAATACATAGCTTATATTTTAAATGTACATTCAGCTTTGGTGTAGTATTAGGAGTTCAGTTCTTACACAAAGTCAGACTGATGGGGCACAAATAGAAATCACTGAATCTTCCCAAATTTCCCCTTAATAGCTTAGAATGGCTCTGTCATTTCTCACAGCTTAGATGTAATTGATTAATACCATAAAAGGTAAAAATATTTTAAGAACAGGCTGTTCTGCTAAATCACTCAAAAAAAGAAACAATTCAACAGAACACTTCAGTTACAAATTTAACTTGACCCTTAGGAATAGCACTTTGGGTAGGTGGGGTATCCTATTTTACAAAGGAGAAAACCTTCAAGTACTGAAGAATAGGTTTTCCCAAGTCCCAGGTAAGGGGTGGAGTCAGTACCTGAAGCCAGACTCTTCCAAATTCAACTTATTTCTTTCACTTTACCATACTATTTGAAGAATCTTGGGGTGAAAAATACGATGTTTGCACCAACTTCAAACCTTTTATCTTTATATATACTTTTATTTTCATTTTCTTAGCCATTTCCATATTAAAATCTTAAATTAAATATTTAGTAACTTTTATTCTGTTATAAGTGGCAAAAAGTTTTATAGCAATGAAGTTACTTTCCTGGAACATTGTCTACATTTAATAGATTTTTTTTTTTTTTTTTTGGCGGAACTGGGGATTGAACTCAGGACCTTGCACTTGCCAGGGAAGCGCTTATTCCACTGAGCCATATCCCCGGCCCTCTATTTAATAGATTTTTGACCCGTACTTTTTTCTTTTTGTGCATGGTGCTGGAGATTGAACCTCGGGCTTCCTTGCTCATACTAGACAAGCCCGATACCACTGAGCTACACAAATCCCAGCCATTGTATATATATTTTTTTCACTGTTGAATGAAGCTAATGTATTTTAAGATTTTTGTCAGTAACATGGCAAGTATTCTTATCATTAATCTATTTTTAAGGACTCTTCATGTATTATATTTTGAGAAAAGAAAAATATTAAAACATGGAATGGCCACCATATGTTTACTTTATTACAAATACACTGATTATAAAAGTTTAACAGTTACTGTGAATACATGATATGCCTTACTGAACAATACTACTCATGAAAAATAATTTTTAAATAATCTAGCCAGTTGGTTGGAGTAAATTACAACCAAAGCAAAGCTACATCTTATGTTTCTATGAAGAAACTAGAAAACTTCTTGATTAAAGAAGGACAAGGGACTGAGGAGATGGCTAGGGCCTCGGGAGATGGCTCAGTGGAATAAATGCTTCCCTGGCAAACACAAGGGCCTGAGTTCAATCCCCGGTTCCAGAAAAAATAAAAAAATAAATAAAGAAGGACAAAATCTTATCCATTTTTGAAGTGCAATTTACTAAACGAAAGGCATTTCAACAAGTTCACTTGCCAGAAAAAGATTTCTAGTAAAAATAAATAAATCCCATTATCAGTAGCTATAAAGACATGCCAGAGTTTGTGGATGTACTCAACCCATGACATCTAAGTAAGTGGAATATGTATACCTGTTCTTCATTAGACGGACTTCTCTCTTTCGAGCTGCTTCTTCAGCAGGCTGTGCGGGAAGTGCGGGGGAGGATGCCATGACAACTCCAGGGGCGATGGTGCTGGTGGGTGCTGTGCGGATCTGGTATGTCTGTACATCTCCAGAGGCAGCTGAGGAGAAAAACAGTGAGCAAGGCATGAGACACAAACACTGTGACATGACTCAACTTTGTCTGCCAATCATCAATCTGAACATACTTTTTGAAATAGAATAGTGAGGAACAGATGATTCTGGCTAAAATGTCAAAAAAAAAAAAAAAAATCAGCAGGTTTTTTTTTTTGGTCATTACTCAAATGTAATGTATTTACTAGTATAGACACTTGGGTGAAAGAGGTTGTAACTTGTGTCTATTTGATCTTATTTATCTTTCATTGGAATGCAGTTCTATTCTGTTAACATGCTTACCAACCTTAAGTCTAAAAGGGAAGTAGGGCACAGCTGGGTTGATCTTCCCAGATATAGTCCTCAATGTCTTCCTTTGATATTGGTAAATTCTTATTAAAAAATTTCAAGTAGACTCTTGCCACGACATAAAAACGACCATGATTTTTCATAAAATAGCAAAATGGAAGAGAAAATAAAGCATAATGGTCAACTATTGTAAATTTCTAATGTAAACAAAACTGCAAGTATGAAAAAGTGTACGATTTGATGCCAATTATATTATTTGTAAATATGGTTTTAATGTAAATAATGGCTAAGTAAACTCAAGTTTTATTTTTCTAACTAAATTCACCCATTTGTGAAAAGAAACAATCACTATTTGTCAAACTGCTTCTAAAAAGTGTTAAGAAATATGCTGTTTTAAAATGAAAAACCTAACACCATAAGAAAATATGAAGGTCTGTAAAATTATCCATATTTAGATATCAATATTACTTAAAATGTGTAGTTTGAGTGGAAAAGATTCATACACTAAACAGGTTACCATCTTCAAACTGACGTTCAGATTCAAATTCACTGACATCCTGCTTTACAATTTTTGAGTACCTGCATGTAAAGTGAAAAAGTGTTTTATTCCGATCAATAAGCGAAATATTATCTTTTTCAAATATTATGTTTAATAACAGAATATGTTCTGCAAATACATTAGGGTTCTTTAAATTATGACTCTCTATTTGGTGTTTTAGAATTATCCAAAAGTAATTATCTGTGAAGGGATACAAATGTCATTACCTAAGACAGGCAAAATGCATTTGAAAATATTTTTCAAAAACAAATTTATTTCCTCAGTCTACAAATTTCAAATCTGACATAAATCATATTCTTGTGGTATTCAAATGAATTCAACAAAAAATGGTCCACTTCTATCCCTAGATTTCTGAAATAAATAAAACATTAAATTTAATTAAGAAAAAGCCAATTCTACAGTTTATCAAAAATAACAACTACTTTTCCTTGAAAGACCAGAAAACTTGTATACATGTATGTTACCTTCTGGAGTATCGTGCTTTCATTTGAAAGAAAAATCAAACTTAGAAGATATAAATGTCCCTTGAATAAAAACTTCTGGAACCTCCAAAATTCTTATCAGTCACTAGCACAATTTTCATTTGATACATGATTAAAAAAAAAAAAGAGATGAAACAGAGAGAGGGAGGGTTCTGCTCAAAGTCAGACATAAGTTCCATGCAGAATCAGAGTTAGAATCCATCTTTCCTACCTTGAGCTGGGGATTTGGCTCAGCGGTAGAAGGCTTGCCTACCAAGCTGGAAGCCCTGGGTTCAGTCCTCGGCACCAAAAACAAAAAAAAATAAACCTCCATCCTTCCTACCTTATGATTTCTAACCTACCCTGTTTCTCCCTTCCCCCAAATCATAAAGGTGTTAAAAATGCATATTATATTTAAAAAACTGAAAATAGTTGTTTTTATGCCATGACATTTTGGTCCAAGTTGAATGATGGAAGAGTTCATGGAAAATTTCATTGAAGAAAAGATAACTGCATTTAACAGTACTTTAGAACACAATACTTACTTTTTTTGAAAGTAAAGATTACATTTGGCTTTCAGAGAACCACATCTGTGAGCTCTGAACTCCCTTACCTTGAACAACAACTTGGTTGCTGGGCACTAAGATCTGCTGTCCATCAGTGGTCTGTGCATACTGTAGGATGGTAGTACCCGGCTGGGTGGCAGCTGCATTGGTCATGGTTAATGTCTGAAGGCCCTGTACCCCATCGGTACCATTATTAGCCAGCTGTATCGCTCCTCCCTGGGTTATGGCAACTAAAATCCAACAAATTTTAATTAATACTAATTAAGACTTTATAAAAACATATTAAGTTCAATATAGACAATCTTAGGTAACATTATAAATACAAGCATAAAGGACCATCAACTTTCTACTCAGGAAAACCACTTTCAACTTCTGTAACAGAAATGTATCCTACGAACTTCATTAACATTGATAATGCCTGTTAATTTTTAAAACAAAGGCAAATAGAAAAATACTAAATTGCTTTTGAAGTTACTTGGTTCTTAGAAAGCCTACCTTTGTGATTCTACTTTATTTCAACACAAACTATACAATGTATTAAATTTGCTGTCATTATAGTAATGTGACTGTTCTCTACTTTCATGCACAGGGTAAACATGTAACAGGCACCAAATAAATGGTTAGTTTATAATGCAATTAATTAATAAAGCAGCTCAGCCAGTGTATTCTATTCTCATTTTCTTAGCAATTCCCAACTGTATTCTAAGTATGCTTAAATAGCCAGATATAGTGGCATTTGCCTATATCCCAGCTAATTGGGAGGTGGAGGTGAAGGCTGGCTCCTAAGTTCAAAACTAGCCTTGGTAATACAGGGAGAACTGATCCTAAAAAAGAAAAACAAGCAAAGATGTCCACTTGATGAAACAAGTAAGTCTCTGGAACTCAGTTATCATAAGTCTCCCATGAGTTTAAAATTAAGAGTCCAAAATCATTATTAAGAAAAAAATATTTTACTGTCATTTCCTTTACGTATCTCAGCATTCTCATATTGCATCTTTTCTTAATTATTCATTAACCACATTTGCTGCTGGTCAAGTAAAAGGAAATTCATCAGTGGTCAGACTAATAGATTATTTCACTTTATAATAAACGATAATCATCTTTATGCTACATTAAAAAGTTAATTTAAAGTGATTATTTTATTTGGAAGATACAATCTTTTTGACACCAGAATTGAGAAATGTAGGTAAATCCTCTCTAGGGAAAAAAAAAAAAAAAAAAGAAAGAAAATCACAATATTACATGTAAAATTATTACCAGTTTCCACTGGATTAAAATAAAAGTTAAAAAAAAAGAGATAGACATGTCTGAGTTAAATGTGTTACTGTCTATTAAAGTGGAATAAGTTTAAGGCCAATTATTAGTAAGCTATGGAAAACTAAAAGCCTGAGTCATTTACACATGAAAAACCTGGTTATGCACTGTTTAATCAATAAATAAGAACAGTTGGTGGCTATTATTTGGTTTTTTGGTGTTTTTTTTTTTTTTTTTGGACGGAACCGGGCATTGAACTCAGGCCCTTGTGCTTGCCAGGGAAGCACTTATTCCACTGAGCCATTTCCCCAGCCCCTATTATTTGTTTTGGAAAAATGATACTTGTGGAAATTAAGACAATGACATATAAAACCCATCCCCACTTTAGCTGTTCCCAGTTTTACTTTGATAAAAGAAAAACTGAATGTATAAGAATTATACTAAGATTAATTTTGTAAAATTACTTGAAAGAATTAGAGGGTTAACAGAACCAAATCTCAAATTTTCATAGAGTAAAGTACATCCCACTGTGTGTTTGGTTTTATACACTGAGAATCAAACTCAGGGGTACTCTGTCACCCACCTACCACCAATCCATCCATCCATCCATCCATCCATCCAGCCAGCCAGCCAGCCAGCCAGCCAGCCAGCCATCCAGCCAGCCAGCCAGCCAGCCAACCAGCCAACCATCCACCTACCCATTCATCCATCCTCTGAAACAGATCCTTGTTTATTTGCTCAGATAGGACTCAAACTTGTAATCCTCCTGCCTCAGCTCCCTCAGTCTTGAGATTACATAAGTGTGCCATTGTATCCAGAACTACATATTTAATTAGCACTTTGGGGGGGGGGGAGTATACAGCAATGAGCTCAAGAGGAATTGAAGAAAAAAAGTGATGTGAAAAAATTGGAGCTATAGTTCAAGTTCTAGCACTAAATCGTTGATTGCTGTCTGTAAAAAATAGCCACCCAGTTAAACTACTGCAAACACTAAATAAGGTCATGTATATGAAAAAAACTTTAAAAACTTAAGTATGAGCCTACTGGTATTTTTTCTCTATAATGCTTAGCCATACCCTAGATTACTCCAAAATAGATTGAGATGGTTTCTCTTCTTTTTCTTTTCTTTTTAAATGTATTTGGTACAAGGTCTCTCTACACAGCTTGCTCTTATAGTGATCTTCCTGTTTTCAGACTCCTCAGTGCTGGGATTATACCCATGTGCTACCATGTCTAGTTTCAGTGGCTGGCTCAGCCCATCCAGGTGGGTGTGTGGCCAGCACAGCATGTGGTGCCAGGGATCAAACCCTGGTCCCTGAGCTTGCCTAAGCTGGTGCTTAGTCCACTGAACTATCTCGCTGGGCCATAAACCAATTTCCATAAAACAAAAACCAAAAACAGACGCAAATAACTGGTATGTCTCCGGTATATTATATGACTCTACCAGAAATTTAGACAAAAGTAGTACAATTAAGGGCAAACTTAGCTGAGATATTGTACATGTGGATGTAACAGAACAGCCTGTATATGAAAAAGAATGGAGGAATATATATCACTATTAGAGGGATAAAAAGGGATCTTTATGTTTAACAGTACTATAACCCTCTAATACTCGACATTTGACAATGATACGTTCACTTTGTAAGTTAAATATGTAAACATCCCTGTATATGTAAGTATTCATTATATTGCTTAATACAAAAAACCAAATGTGCAAGAGAAAGGAAAGGGATACAGATAATAAAAGCTTATAAAATCTCAAAGTATTATTAATCTCTTAAAACGAGAAGCTTTCAGCTATTGGAGAAATACATGTAAAATCATGTATGTAAGGGGATGACCGTGCTTCCCTAAACTTCACTTCCCTTTTTCAGACTCACATGTTTCTTTCCGAAAAAGCATGCTTTCTAGTTCAAGTAAGAAACTCTGCAATGAATTTCTGTTACTGACAGGAATGTTTTATGTACCTTAGTGAAGTAAGGGAAAAATAAAGGTCATGTGTCAGTGTCATAAAAAACATCTTAAGTAACTAAAATTATCTGTATATGAAGCTATGATAAACTGAAAACTTACATACACAAAAGAGCCATAAAGATGTACTCTGCTAAGAAGACAACAGAAGGTAACTAAACTCATTAAAAGCTTAGTGAACAAGTAGCTTAGTCTGATTTAATTTTGCAGCAAGAATTTTTTTGCCTCCCCCCAAGAATGTTTTTAATATAGGTGGAATGCATACTGAGTTTTGGCAAATCAATATTGGGCTGAAACTAAAAAAGGAAAGAGAAAATACTATTCATACAAATGCCTTTGATCAAACAAAAGCAACATTCAAAAGCAGTTTATAATAGATTTAGGTGAAAGATAAGAAAAGCCAAGAGATTTGGGTGTCAAATGGAGACATCACAAATAGAAACTAATAAATTTGTGGATAAATCTCTGCTTTATATGAAGCAAAAGGTAAAGTGTCCTGTTAATTTAGCAGTCCTTATGTATCATCTTTTTATAATAAAAGCATTATTAAATATGCATTTAAATGCTACTTTTAGAAACTAAGATAAATTTTTAAGATAAATTATTAAGAGTTGAATAATGAGACTTTTTTTGGCTTTAAGCATGAAGAGTAACTTGAAAAAACATTCTCTCAGAATGAGGACTGAAATCTTAAGTTTCATTTAGTTGTTTGAAAAACATCAGACTGCATTTGCACAAAGCAAAGGAACATGCAAGAGGCTTACGTACTTGAATAACCCTAACTAAAACTCTGAAGAAAACCCTTCCATTACAGAAATGCAACGATAGTAGCAAGACTTAGAAACAACTTGGCACTTGAGTCCTTTACTGAGAATATAATCACTAGCTTTTCTTCTCTGTTTTCAGTACAGAAATATCAATTACTCACTGTACTGTCCACTGCTAGTTTGGTAAATTGGAGTTGGCACTGTTACAGTGGTGATGGCAGGGGCTGACGTCTCCTCCTCAGACTTCTCTTCTTCAATCCTTGGCACTCCTGGTGCATCAGAAGATAAGTCATTCAAAATTTTCCTAGAAAAAGAGAACTATATTATTAAAATTTACTGTCTAAATAACAAATAATATAAAGATCTGAAAATAGACAGGAAGCTATTTGTGCTTAGACCACAAGTTAAAGATACAGAAATTTTAAGAAAAAATTCTAAAGGAAACAGGGATGCCAAATGGCCCCAAGTGCTGCAGTAGGCTTTTTGTTATTAATGGCAGCTCTAAAAGGTTCACTGTTCACTATCACTACTCTAAACTCTCTCAGTCATCTTACCTGAATATATTTCACTTCGTTTTAAATTACATTCCAGAAGTGGTCTGAGCAGTGGGAATAATTCCCTTCCTTAGTCACTAGGTTTTTACTACTATGTAGCCTTAGAGTGTATTGGCTTGGTGGTAGTAGTGGTGGTGGGGAATTGGACATATTATATCACTGATAATCAAAGAGCTAAGTAGGTTTTTCCAAATAAATTTTTAAAACCCAAAATGTGATACTTGAACATCTAATTTTATTTTACACTTAGGTTCAGAAATTTTAGTTATTACTATTACTTTGTTTCAGTCTACATCCCTTGGCTGCTATGCTTCAAAGGACTTACTTTCTCATACCTCAGGGTACTTATCACTTAAGGGTCCATCATTTTCAAATCTGATGAACATGACTTTTATGTTTTTCTGCTACACTGCTGTTTAAAATGTCAACCCAAATGAGACCCAGTAGAGGTTCCTTCAAGGACTTCCTCTACATATAAATTAATCACTATAAAGATGGGTTGTTTCAGTACTATCAAAACCTCCATTTCTCCAACCTTTCAAGAGCATCACAAGAAACGGTATTACTTTGCTATAATCAAGACACAGGGGTTATGTTTCAGGAATTCATAAACTGAATGGTACCCCTGTGTGAAAGTTTCATTATACGAGATTCCATTACCTTTAACAAACTTTTCTCTAATGTATCTGGTCTCATGGCATCTTTCTTTATTAAGGCGTATTATTTAAATGACCATTGTTAGGATTTAGGCTATGAGCCAATTAAGTCAAATGAGAAATTTTTTCAATAGAAAGACTTTACCTTAGAAGGCCTGTAGCTATGTTTTAAGTATGTTTAAACAGAAAATTCCTTAAGATCTCAAAAATTTAACAGATGTGGTAGTGCATGCCTATAATCCTGGCAACTTAGGAGGCTAAGGCAGGTGGATCACAGCAAATTCAAGACCAGCCTTGGCTGCACAGTGAGTTCAATGTCAACCTGAACTACATAGTGAGACCCTCTCCCAAAAAACAAAAACAAGGGCAAGGCATGGTGATGCACACCTGTAATCCTGGCACTCAGGAGGCTGAGGCAGGAAGATTGCTATGAGTCTGAGACCAGCTCAAGGCCAGCATGAACTGCATAGTAAGACCCTGTCTCAAATACTCAAAACACACACACACACACACACCAAGCCCCCCCTCAAAAAAATCAATTTTGTATCAATATTAACTTAGGATTCTTTTTTAATGTATTTGGTACAGTCTCACTATGCAGCGTGGATCACTCATAGTGATCCTCCTGTCTTCAGTCTACCCGGCACTGGGATTACAGGTGTGTGCCCCTATGTCTGCTCTCGGTGGCCAGCTCAGTGTGCCCAGGGGCAGGCTGGGCACCACATGTGGTGCTGAGGATTGAACCCTTATCTCTGTGCTTGCCTAAGTAGGTGCTTAGTCCACTGAGTTATCTTGCCCAGCCCTAATTTAGGATTCTTTTTTTTTATTTTATTTTATTTTTTTATTCGCGGAACCGGGGGACTGAACTCAGGCCCTTGTGCTTGCCAGGGAAGCGCTTATTCCACTGAGTCATCTCCCCGGCCCCTTAATTTAGGATTTTTAATTTATGTGGACAGAAAAAAGGGCATGCTTAATAACTAAAGAAGTAGAAGAATGGGAATAGAAGTAGTTTAGACTTAAAACAAGAAAGAGAACTCTTAAGTCTGAACTTTATTGAACTTTAAGCTTAGTAAAATCTGTGGTTTGTGCCCTTCCTGGAGATTTTTAATATGGAGCTGATTTCTATATACAATAAATGGTTTTGGTCCACTTTAGAGGTTAAGCAACAGGCCGGGCAACATCCACAGATGAACACAGAAACTAGTAAGGTGCCTCTGAAACTAAGAGGATGTTAGCAAAGCAGCACATGGAAAAAAATAGTTAAGTATCATAGCATAAGAAATGGTTTGCAAAGATATAGCTAAGGAGATAGCTAGCATAGCTTCAGAAGTGACACAAAAGTAGAGAATATAATTAACTTTATTAAATGTATTTCAAACTTTAGAAAAACAGCAGCCACCAGTGTACAAAAAAAAAAGCAATCAGTGATCTTTCTGTGCAGTAAGCTTCACTGTATGTAAAATAATCTATATCGTACTGGCTTGAGCAGCTACTAAGCTTTCATATCTCTTCATCTGTAGCTGACTATGATTTTTTTGTGTATCTTTGGTTCTAATCTCCATTAAGTCTGATACCTGTAGGAAGGCCTCCTTGAAAGAATTTCCCTTCGCTTCTGGGAATCAGTTACGCTATCCACTGATTCCTGTGAATCTTCACTTTCTGCAATAGTTGAAATCTGAAAATAAAGAAGAGCTTTATCATAATAGTCAGACTGAGTTCCTATAACAGTTTATAAATTTCAAAACATTTGTCCTTAATTTCTTTCAGGACTCTGTGTAATCAATCTTGGATGCATCAGTACTACCTGTCAGTTATCAATAGTTATTGTAACAAGACAGTTTTGGACATGTGGGAAAGATTGACTAAAAATTTGCCATAAATCCTTAAAAGTATTTTCCTTTACTGTGCAAACATCAAGTATATTTTACAGTCATACAAACAAGACTGGTTACCCTCATCACCTTCCAGATAGTTGTTTTAGCAACTTTGTAAAAAGCTTCCTACTACAAAGACATGTTTCAAGGTTGGCATTTTGTAATTACTTATAAACAAAAATTCATGGTAAAAAACTATTTCTGGTTAAGAATTCCTAGACTGAAAAATAATGGTAACTGAATGAAGATTTACATGGAACAATAGGAACTAGAATTTACTGTGTGCCAGGTGCTACACTATAGCACTTACATTACTTAATATAGTAACTCAGCCATTACATGGTTTTACAGCTAGAAGAATTAAAGTACAAAGTGATCAGGCAACTCACCAAGTGATAAAGCTAAGAAGCAGCACCCCCCCCATTAATACTTGGTATCTCCACTTTAGATACCCTTATCAGCATCAAAATCCTAGAAGCTCAAGCCTCAAACCAGGGTGGGCAGAAGCAACAACCCAATAGTATTTTTAGATCATTTCTAGACTAGCAGTCCCCTCACCTAAGTGTGCTTGACTGATAAATCTACATTGGCTGTTTTCTCTAAACTGCCTGTGTTTTTTTCTTAAAGCAGGTACACATGATAGTGTCAGAATGAGAATTAGATCTGATCAAGACAAAAGGTTAGTTCATCAAAATAAACATGACAATAAGAAAAACCACAGTCAAAGGTACTCAAGAAACTCTAAAGGTATGCTTTATGTAGTCTGAGCTTAAAGGTTTTAGAGTGGGTACTTATTTTGACAGTCCTTATGACATGCATCATCACTTTAAAAAGAAGTCAAGTAAATCTAATAGCACTTTAAAAAATACACTTATAAGGTAATGTACCCACCCAAATTCTTTGAAGTAAAGATAGTAGTCTTTCATACTACTAAAAAATCCTTTAGACTTTAAAAAGTAGGCAATGATTCATGAATTCAGAAAGGATAGCTAAAATGAGCAAGGCCCTGATTCCCAGTAATTATTTTTTTTCTTTTTTTCCTAGATTAAAAATACTACAGATTACAGCTAATGGAACATGTAGAAAAATTTCCCATTTATCAGGAGGTGTTGTACAATTAGTAGAGTCAACAAAGTTTATGTACAAACTTTCTCAGAGATATACAGCAGATCAGAACATGGGTAAAAACAACAAAAACTAAAGTCTAAGTGAACAGTACTGTGATTAAGTATTTTTTTTTAATTAATACCCCACTCGATCTTACATTTTGTAGCTTTCTTTGTCCTGTTTGACTCATTCATGTTCTATTCTTACAATTATTTCTTAGGAGTATTTAACAATTTGGGAATATTTCCTTCAGATGTGCAACTCCTTAAAACAAGCTGTATAATCTACTCTCAGGACAGTTTGGAAATGAAATAATATATATGTCCTTTCACCACCTCCCAAAATTCAGTGGATTATGGTACTCTGTACAAAAAGGTGCTTCTCCAATCTGAGATTTTTGTCAATTCAGACAAAGTAATGACTGCTGTTCAATAGATTATGTTAATTCCCTTTTTAATACAAAGGGAATGCAGACAAAGCTTTGGCAGAGAATATGTCAACATCAAGATTGAAACTTGTGGACCTGAGTGATTATAATGTGTTCATGTAGGTTCAATGTTAGCGACTGTACCAATCTGATATGAGAACGTCAGTACAGAGGGCTAGGCATGTTTGGAGCCACAGTGTTTTGGAAATCTCCTTATCTTCTTCTCAACTTTTTTGTGAACCTAAAACTGCAATAAAAATTGAAAAAACAAAACAAAAACCCATGCTATAAATAAAGAAATCATGTAAAAATCCACTTTATAAATAATAGTTCAATATATTTAGCAGACTAACAACAACCATGTAAAAACATATCCCAATTATAGATATGACAGATTATCACACTCTAACGATGGAACGCCTCCCACCCTCACTTCTTGACATTTCTTACTTATTCCTGAATTCCGTTAAGTAGGTCTTTAATTTTGGCCACTTGAGACAGTCAAGAAATTTTCAAAAAGCCAAACCACTACTTGTAATTTACGCTTTAAATGTGCATTTTTTCAACTTTGGTTTAAAAACTATATTATGAGGGAAATGTTTTATTTTTTAATTTAAGAAAACTCTTCTTTTGTCTTTTTCAGATAGGGTTTCATTATGCAGTTCAGGCTGACCTTGAACTAATTTTGTAGTTCAGACTGGTCTCAAACTCATAATGATCTTCCTGCCTCAGCCTCCCAAGTGCTAGAATTTCAAGTGTGGGCCACCATGCCTGCCAAAAACGTGTTTTTAATTGCTTAATATTTCAAAATAAAGCAATGATAAAATATTAGATTTTCTGGGAAAATTATACACAATCCACTGAAAAGTGAAGCACATTTCCTGACTTTTTAAAAAAAAATCACTAGATTAATAAAACCAGAGATCTTGAACCTTGATCTTCAAATTCTTTTGATCTGCAGATTTCCCATATAAATAAGAAAATTTTGCACTCATGCCCCCTTTCTGTAGTCCTAGGGACAGAATCCAGGGTCTCTGTACTGAGCTACATTTCCAACTTTTTTTGTTTTGTGACAAGGTCGTCCTAAATTGTTCAAACAAGGCTTTAACTTTTGATCCTCCTGTCTCATCAGCGGCCCCACTGCTGTATTACAGATGCTTGCCATATTCACTCAGCCATGTATTTCTTGCTTGCAAGTTTTAAATGTTATTTATATTATACAAAAAGAGCTGTTAAACAAGTGTAGAAATTAAAATTTTCGGTTTTTTAAAGATAAATTTAATTTCATTCCAGTGATAATAGCTCATCAGCATGAGTGCCTGCCTGGCAAGTGCAAGGTCCCAAGTTCAATCCCCAGTACTGGGAAAAAAAATTTTTCACTATAGTAAAATGTGATTAAATATACCCTACTAAAAGATCAATGTAACACTGATTCAGAAATAATCTAAGCTTAGGTTTTTGGAAATGTGACTTAATATATAGATCTAAAAAGTAAATATCTTATTTATATCAGGATTATATAATAAGACAAGGGATTGATCACTGGTTTGTCAGCTCTTTAAAAAAAATGTTTTTGAGACAATGTCTCACTAAGTAGTCAATACTAATGTCAATACTACAGCCCTCTTCCTGAGTAGTTTAAGATTACAAGGAGGTCCTACCAAATCCAGCTATAATTTCATATTTTTAACAAGTTTTAGACTTCTGAAAAGGTTAGGAAAGATTATTTCTCAGGTTTTAATAGTACACAGACTTGAGTTTTTAAAGACAATATACATTGGTTGCACTGGAAAGAAGTGTGGACAGTTTCTCAATTCCTGTTTTCAAAATGCTCTCTACTACACAAGTTCCTTTCAAAAAGCAGCTATTCTCTCATTCATGGTCAAAGTATCTCTTCCCTCTAGAAAAGACATCAAATGGATTTTTTTCAAAATATGTCACATTAAAAAAAAAAGTCACATAAAATATCCTTTATGAAATCCTTGTTTATCATCATTATGAAGATCAGAAACTTTGGAACCAGTCTTTAAAAGAAAAACATGGGCAACCCACTTAGGACTCCTGTCTCTGTTAAGACAAAAGCTTTCTCTCCATTTTTTTTGCTCTTTAAAAATAAAATAAAATAAAAAACCTAGCGTTACCCATCCTTAAGTTAGACAACTTTTAACTACTATATTGATAAGCACAAAACCTCTATTTTGGACAAATTTTTAATGTCAACCCCACCATATTTCAAACTATACTATATTAAAAGCTTCATCTCCAACCACTCTCTTCCTATATTCTAGCAGTAACTTTCTATTCCTTGATTTTTAGTGTTGACCCCACCATATTATAAAGTATTAAAAATACTATCAAAAGCTTCATCTTGGGCTGGGGAAACAGCTTGGTGGTATAAGAGCCTGCCTGGCAAGCGCGAGGTCCTGAGTTCAATCCCCAGTACCAAAAATAAATAAGAAATAAAAAAGCTTCATCTCCAACCACTCTCTTCCTTCCTCTAGCAATATGTTGCTATTCCTTAATATCCCAACCATACTCTCATTTCCAAATCTTAGAATTTGCTTTTATCATCAGCCTGGCTTAGTCACATTCACCATGTTGTAGTCTCTGTTCTGTGTTCCCATACCACTTCACATAAAATAGAACATCTTTCCCACATCATCTTTCTCTATCGCTTTTCCCTATTTTATTAATCTCTCCAGCACTTCTCCTCACCTGACATATTTATTTCATAGTCTGTCTCTCTTCACTCAAGTATGATCTTCATGAAAATAGAGATGTATTTTGTTCACTCCTGTCTGTAATAGCACCTAGAACAATGACTGGTACATAGCATGTGATCAATAAACATTAAAGAAACATGTAATAAAACAATATAATTTATAAATTCTGTGTCTGGTATATTTAAACTATACTACACTGAAATGTGGCCAAAACTAATAAAAGCAAAGGGATGCCACTGTCAACCCTATACACTCTGTTAATTCCCATTATTTTTGTACTCACATAATCTGTGAAACATGACTTACCTATTTAACTAAAAATGGAATTAGAGTACCAAAAACCAAGCTGTATATGAAATATCAGTACAGCTCTGTTTGTAGTAGTCTTAAAATGTGAACAGGAGCCCCAGTATCTTATTCTCCCATCAAGAGAAATGCACTTATATATTTTAGAAAATTATGTCATCTTAATACTAATATTCTTCCATCTAGATATCTAAGAGAATTCTTCTCCTTGTTTGATTACATATTCTCATGTAAACTGTTTACTAGTTAGTAGCATTAATCATTTCTAGTCAGCTGAACTGACTATTAAAGTCTAAAAGATTCTCCATGGTTTAGGCCCTTTAAAGAGAAGTATACTTGTGCCTTAATTTGTAGACTCTTGGCTTCACACATATCTCACCTTAATGACAAATATATTCCTGAAAAGATGAAATACATACTTCCATTAAAAAAAAAAGGCCATATAATTCTCAGCTTCAAATTATACTGTCCCAAAACAGAGATTAGAACTAAGAACACAATCAACAGTCTTTATAAATGTTGTGGCTGTTAATTGTTTTGCTTTCAACATCTTCTGTATGTGGGGGAAAAAAAAGAAAGGTTGACATGTTCAGGTCATTTGACCTACTAATATCTAAAGTGAGTCTGGAATCTAGATCTCATGACTTGTAGGTCAAGTTCCTTCCATTTCAATTGAGAGGTTGGGTGGGGAAAGAGTAATGGGACATTGTTTGGAGAATGTAAGATAGTATTCAGTCAAAGAAAAACTAAGGCAAAGAACACCTTATCACTGCAATTTCACAGGAATACCAAGTACTTGGCTTTTTATTTCGGTAACACGATATCCTACTTGTTAACAAAATCTGCTCTAAGCATCTTATGGAAATTCACAATTTGATGATTCCATACAAAAACAATATTCAACCACATGTAAATGTTGAAGCAAACCAAAAGCATAACCTAGAACCAAGTAGGAGATAATAGCAGCTAAGTGACTCAATATAACATGGGCACACACACACACAAATTCTAGTATGTCTGTCTTCAATCAATATTTACAAGACAAAGGAATACTACTTCCCTCTACCAATACCAATCAGTTCTGTGTATCATATAAAAAGCTTTCACTTAGGAGAAAACAACCAGGATGGTGAAGAGGAATCAAAGATATACAATACAATAAAAGGCTGAAGAAAAACAGGAGTTTGAGTCTGAAATTTTCCTATAAATTGGGTATAAGGGAGGGAGAAAGGATTTGCTAATCTAGTTTCTGTGGATAGAACTGGGAATACCATGTGAAAAGTTTACAAATATATATTCTAGCTCCATACCACAAAGAATAATTTAGAAGTCACCCTTAACTGTAAGTGATTACCTCAGGAGATAGAGTTTCTTTTCTCTGCACGTGTTCAAGTAATGATAGACTACCACGTGGAAGGGGAGAAATGCTATGAAGAGGGATTAAACAATATGTTAAAGGCTAAATAAGGGAACAAGTTTGGCACAGAAGCAGAAGACCTTTAAGGACTGTACTTACAGAGTAAGTACATCACACTTACAGAGAAGGACAAAGACATAAAGAAGTTCTCACCTTCCTAATAATAGTTCTCTTCAAAGCTAGAACCTAGGACTCACCTGTGTTCTGAAGAAAAGTCTTTTTAAGTCCTTACAGGAAGACTGTGAAGCAAAAAATATGAAATGGAAGGCTGGGGTTATAGCCTACTTAAATGAATGTTGTCTTTTTTTTTCCTTCAGTAAGTTCAAGTGCATCTCCACTGCTCTTGGTTGCCAGTGTAGGCAATCTTTTTTTAAATTGGGGGTTAATTTTACATATGCCGTTTTCTTGTTGTTCTTTTTTTTTTTTTTTTTTTTGCAGAACCGGGGATCGAACTCAGGCCCTTGCACTTGCCAGGGAAGTGCTTATTCCACTGAGCCATCTCCCCAGTCCCTATTAATTTTTTATCAAGGCTTTCTCCCCCAAATGCAGGTTTAGAATATTATTACAAAGTAATCTATGTATCTTAATTTTCCTTAGCTGAGGTTCATCATCTTTATACACACTCTCTTTACTTTATCCCATGTACTTAACTATTTTCTCCAATCAATTCTCATTTTTCTGCAGTGTAAGAAGCCATTTTCTTCATGCCTGCTCTTGTATATGTATGCTCCCATATGACTATACAAATGTAGCATGTTTTTTCTATACCATAAAACTATGAACTAGATGTGTTCTTACTTTTGTAACTAATGAAAGGAGACAGAGATAGCTATAAGCAATAGTTATAAAAGTACATGCAGAAGTTTTTATACACATACCTGAACTGTCTGGACTTGTGGAGACTGAATAACTGATGGTTGGGCCGCCTGAATAACTCCATGGACTTGAACTGTCTGCCCATTGGGCAGCTGTACTAAAGTTACGGTGGGAGCAGATGATGTTGCATGAGCTGCTGGCATAGATACCTACGGTGTTGAACATGGAAAAAAATTGCTATTACAGATATCTCTTTAGAATTACTCAGGTTCAATATAAAGAACTTTTTAGAAGCAAAAATATGACCTTTCTGCCACATTAATATTTCACTGAAGTGAAAGAAACCAATGATTAAATTTGAATAGTCTTTAAAAATAAAATCCTTACAGGTCCTCCTCCCCTCCTACTTTTCAATCACTCCTAAGTAACCAATAAAAAGTTACTTTAATGCAGTATCAAAACATGCAACACAGACTTTTTCTGAACACTAAATACTATTCTATTTGTAAGGTGCTTTTTTACATTTTCCTGTCTGCTTTCAGTTTCTTGTTTTGCTCTGAAGAAACTGAAGGGTAGGGAATAAGATCTCCAAATTAAGACAAAAATATCAACTGCTCAAAAAGATTAATTTACCAAAGATCAACAGATGTGCTAGCCTTGAAGAAACATAAAAGCCTACAAAATATCTTATGCTAAATCAGCCATGTTCTAAAATCTTAATTGTTCTCAAATTTGGACAAAACTGACCTACACTAAGTCTTTAATAAATACACACTGATAACAAGTAACTAGTTTTCTCTTTTACACTAATTACAAGGATACCTTTTGAGAAAACACTGACAGACATTACAACTGAGAAATTCAATTTCCTCCTATTCTTCAATATAATTAAAGTGGTAGTACTTGTTTTAAGAATATGTTCTCATTCTGAATAAAGCGGCAGAGTTGAAAGTATATAAAAGAAACCAATTTTCTCCCAAGGTATCAAGGTGGCAATTTTGACGAGTCAATTTCCAAGTTAAAAAGACCCTTTGGTCACATATGTCTATCAATAAATTTACTGTTTTTATGTTCTAACATAATTAAGAGTAGGAATTCTATTGGCTCACTTAGTAAAAAAATATTGGGACCTTTGTACCAAGAACAGTGCTTTATTGAAACTGCAAAAATGGGAGATACAAGTCCTGACCTGAAAGAAGTCACTGGTAGATGTGTGTGTAGGAATGGAGCAGACACTCTAGTATGCAGTTCAGTGAGTGTTTTTTTTTTTTTTTTTTTTTTTTTTTTTTTTTTTTTTCCTGTATTTAGGACAGGATCTATAGGGTCTACAAGGTCTCACTATATAGATCAGACTCGCAGTAATTTTCCTGTTTTCAGCCTCCCAAGTGCTGGGATTACAGGTGAATGCTACCATGCCCAGTCTCAGTGTGCCCCATGGACAGGGCTGGCACAGCTTGCCGGGTATCAAACCCTGGCTAAGCAGGCGCTTTAGTCCACTAAGCTATCAGGCTGGCCCTGAGTAATGAGTTTTTTTGTGAAACCAGGGATTGAACTCAGGCCATTGTGCTTGCCAGGGATGAGCTTATTCTACTAAGCCATCTCCCTGGACCCAAAAGGTTTCTTTTTTTGCAGAACTGAGGAGTGAACACAGGTCCGCAAGTGTTTATTCTACCAAGCCATCTCCCCAGCCCGAGTGATGAGTTTTTGCTAAGAAAAATGGACATACTGTGTTTAGCAAAGCTACCCAACCTGAGTTTGAAACCCAACTGAGTTTGAAACAGAGAATACCAGTTAGACAGGATACTACTATGGTTTGGAGGTGGGAAGGCACAAAACTTCAGGCAGAGGCAACATGAAAAACAGCAGAGAAGCAGCACTGTCTACATGACAGGGAAGGATGGAAAGAGTTCAGAGGGAGCAGAATCCAGGTATTAGCATGGACAAACCATGACAGAGGTAATTAAGCCATTCATGATCATCTGTGTTAAAGGAAATAACATGGATTTTTATCCTACAGAGTATGGGAAAGACATTGTAAGGTCTTGCGTATTACAATAAGGTGTGGATAAATTTTAGATAAAGTGATTTTAGATAAATCACTTTAGTGGCAGCAGAAAGGATACAAATCACAGGGGAAGAAAAACTTTAGAGGTAGAGAGAGCAAATAAGTAGCCTGTGCAGTAGTTAAGGTGAAATAACAAAGGCAGGAAACAAGGCAGCAATAGTGAGAGGGATAGAAATAAAGTGATTTTATAGAATCTGGAGACAGACCAAATATGGCTTTATGAATAATTGGTTGAAAGAGGCAAGAAGAATAAAAGATGACTCATACGATTCACATGCAAGAATTGGTAAAGTAACATCCAATGAAACAGAAAATGCAGGGACAAAGTCTTGTATGGTTGGGACTGTGATGGAAGATGGAAATGACCTGACACACGAATTTGCAGAGATGTTTAGCAAATATTTGACACTGAAACTTTGGAGGAAAGAATGCTATCAGTCTTCTGCACACAGGTTAAAATATGGAGCTTCTTTAGAAAGGTAGGAAACCCATCTTTACTGCTTTCTTTCAGCCACTTTTAGGTCTTTCTTGAAGTTTTACCTGGTTCTAAAAATGTCTCATATACATTACTCACATTAGTCGCACTGTTTGCAAAATCAGTCTAAAAGGGACCCATTATTCTTCCTTCTCCACTGAAGTTTGAGCCGCAAACCTTAAATTTTCAAATCATTATCCTGTCGTAATTTCATAGAAAGATCTTGCTGATATTTGAAGCAACTGTTACTGTTGTCTTTCCTGATTTCTCCAGAGAAATGTAACAAGCTAACTCAATCCCTCTTTTAGCCTGATCATTTTTCATAATGGTTCCTCTCATTTTTAGTTCATAAAACAGATACATAAAGTATAAAGTAAATATCCCTTATACTGTTTTTTACTCAAAAGCTCATTAGTTTCTTTTACAATACCTTTTTTGTTTATAAATAATTTTGCTTTAGAAAGCATATTTTCCATACTATTAATAGTTTTCTTTATAAACCCTATTACTTAGAAATCTGCTTATAGGGACTGGGGAGATGGCTCAGTGGAATAAGTGCTTTCCTGGAAAGCGCAAGGGCCTGAGTTCAATCCCCAGTTCCGCCAAAAAAGAAAAAAGTTTTAGAAATCTGCTTATGACAAGAAAGCTACAATACTCACCCCTTTCACTTTTTAAAGTTAATCAAAACCAAAAGCATTTCCCACCAAAAGTACTGAGTATAACTAGCTCTCCTAAGACATATATTTGTTACTCCACTTGTAAATCTTCAGCGATGGCTGTTAATGATAATTTGAACATGTACATGTAATTTTCTTCCTTGAATCCCGTACTTAAATTAAATTTACAGGCATAGTCACACAAACATTAGGTGAATGGGAAAGGTGGTAACAGTATTAAAGAGCTTAAGAGGTACAGATCAATAAATTCAGATGGCTACTTCATGAACTGACATTTGATCTGCAGCACAAAAATCAAGAGCCTGGGGTACAGCACCATACAAGGTAAAGCGAAAAAAGCTGATAATAACGAAGGCTAGTTGAAGATTATGTGAAAAACAATTAGAGATACTCTCTCAATGGAACAGCAAATCTACCACATTTTGACTGAAAAACAGAGATTTACACTCTAGATGAAGGGTTTCTTGATGCCCGACACGAGGCATTGCTGCAGGCAGCTAATAAATCCCTGCCTTTTTTTTTTCACTTGGCTCTCAGCACTTTTCCCTATAACTAGGGAATTAGCAAAGTTTCTGTGGAACCTAAGACTTTAATATCAAGAAAAGACTGAAAAATATTTTTACTAGGACAACTACAACTATTTACAGTGGAGCTTCCATTTTACAGCTATTAGCCCCACACACAGCACAAAGCTTTGAGGAACACTTTTTAGTTCACTTTTATGCATCTGGTACTAGGGACTGAATCTGTCTTACATATACTAAGCACACGCTCCACTGCTAAGCTATACCTCTGCGCTCTAGTTCCCTCTCTACTTTTAAACTTGAGAAGTCAATCATAGAGTATCAAACATGGGGAAAGCTTCTAAAATGAAAGATGGAGAGCAAATGGCAGGGGGGAGCTATATGGAGAGAAATCTAATAGCTATATGGAGCAAAGAACTTGAGACAACAAAAAATATTCTCAGCAGTAAGAGATGATAAAAAGTTCAATAAATGGGTTGGAATGTGCTGAGGAAATCTCCCAAAAAGCAGAGCAGAAAGATAAAACACAGAAAGAAAATGAGAAAAACTGCCCTACAGATATAATGCCTAGACCACAGGATTGTACAGAGAAATGAGAACATAGGACAAAAACATCAACCAAATAATTTAAATAAAGTTCCTACAAGTGAAGACATGCACATCTACCATAAAAGGAAACTCTGAATACAAGGGTTAAAAATTGACTTAATGTATCAATGCCATTATAGTGAATTTTGAAATATGGTCACCAAAGAAATTTTGTATAAGGTAACACAGATACAAATAAGAATTATCTTTTCCAACAATAGTAAGATAAAAGTTGACTAAGGAGCAATGTTTTCAAAATTCAAAAAAGAAAAAAAATTAATCAAGAATTCCTTATCTTTTTTTTCCCTCAAGGTACTATTAAAAAATACATACTCTATCAGTAAGACAAACACCACAAAAATAAGTAGAGTGAGAAGAATCCCTAGGATGACCCTATGCAGCAAATCAGAAGTCAACCAGGTAAGAGGAATGTGACCAAAGTGACAGTGACAGTTATATTGAGGACTATCATCAATGTCTGCTGGCGTTGTTCCCAGAGGACAGGAACCTTGGATGATGTCAGTCAACTGTGCTTGCTCACTCTATTTTTCTACTGACTAAGCCCCTGCCTCACCTGAGTATCCACTTTAAGTGTATTCAGCTTTGTCTTACTCCTGAGTACTACAGGTAGGCCTTGGTAATTCTAGGAAAGAATGGAGCACAGCCATTTCTCAGGATCAGATTCCTGCTGGAGCTCAGCATCTGGCCTGCATTTTAGCTCAATTAAACACTCTCACTCACACTAACTATGATAAGCCTTCAACTTTCCAAGACTTATTCTTGCACAGTGGTTTCTGTAGTAGCTTTTAAATTCTTGAGGAAAACTCAAGTTAGACATACCAGAACTTATGCCAGGACTTTCTCCTGGAAAACTTCTTAAACAGGCACTGTCACACTTTTACCTATCAGGTTTATTCTCTTATTTGGTTCTTGTATTATGTTTCTCACTAATACCCAGGTAAATAGTAATAAAATATTTGGGGAAAAATACATGAAAACAAAAAGTATAAGAGAATATACTCTTAATCATAGGATTTTTAAGACAAAGACAAATCAGGAACTGTAGTTAAAATATATAGTAAACAAAAACTATTATCCTTAAAAATTACTTGCATGTCAGTTTACTTTTAGTTTAATCCTATATAAATTTTCCTTTTATATTAACTTTCATTGTGTGTTATACACAAAAAAGCAGCTGTCAGAGCTAAGACTTTCTTCCCTTGAGATCCAATTATCAGCTAAATTTGTATTTCTGGATCATGTCACTACAAATATTAGCATTTAATAATACATTTTACTGTTATGTAACAGTTAACACTATCATTTCTAAATACAGGCTAAAACTAAGTAGCCATTGTGATATTCTAAGAACATCTCTGCTCACTATGTATATCTCTATAATAAAAACTATAATCTTTTAGAAACAGTCCTCTTGGAAGAGACACAGCTTGCAATCTCTCTATGTATTTTATACCTGGGCTAATGTGGCAATCTGTGGCTGGGCTTGAACTGTCATTTGTTGATTTTCAGCTTCTGTTACAGCTGCATCTCCACTCTGCTGGTTCTCTGCTCCAGATTCCATGGTCATTTAGTTACCTACAATAATATGGAAGAGTGTTACAAGCACTACAGTGCTTTTTACTTTTTGTGATGTTAAAGGCAAATTTCAAGTCAGAAATAAGTATATGTGGTGGTCAGGTTAGCAAATGCACTTAAGATAGTTTGTTGAGATATAACATAGCTGAATTTGGAAGTTTTCCAAATTTGCTCAAAGGCTCTTTTCCCTTCAAAAAAAAAAAAAAATCTTTTCTTCTGGTTGTTTCTTCTGAATGGAATTATCACTCCATCTAGGAATCTAGGAAAGGAGAATCTATTCCTCTCTCCCTAACAAAGAAGAGTGACAACAAAAATTGCAATTATTAAAAACTGTACCATTCAGGCACAGAAGACGAAAGCTAATAACCTGTGTCAGTGAGATATTACAGTCATGGTATGCATATACCATGAGAGGGAAGCAGAAAACTCAAAAGCTACTTCTACCAGTGCTAAGACAAAAATCACCCCAAGTTCTAAGAGCCCAACCTGCAGGAAATCAAGGCAGAAAGGTGAAATAAATGACCAGAGTCCCAAATACTGAAAGTTACAGTGTCATTCTCTTTATCCGTGTAAGAGTGTGCAATCTCATACCACACAGAGATGTACATGCATGGAAATAAAAATACTTTTAAAATGTTTAACTGTAAAATTCTGGGGAAGTCACCTAGACTTTGAGTCACCTTTGTTACTTTTTGGCTCTTGTGTTGATAAGAACATAGTTCATCTGCTGGGTCATTTGACACTACATGGCACCAGTAGCAATTCCTAGCTACATAAAGGTTGGAGTAATATCTATCTGGGGAAGCAATCTTCTCTATAAGATTTAGGAAAGAAGGAGTATTTCTAGTGTGCCACTGTTATGCAGTAGCTAGTATATTACCTACAAAATAAATATGTTAAGGGACTACCTGTAGTCATTCTACAAACAACACAAAACCCCAATACTTTTCCATAATACATTGTTTATTTTATAACTGAAATTGACAATCAAAATTGTTAACTGATCTTTGTGTGGTCACAACAGACCATCACAATGTATTACATACATCTTAGTATCTCACTCATAGAGTTCTATGAAAAGTTTCTACACGTGATGGTTAAAAATGGAAATGAAAACATCTTAGGGGAAAGAAGTATCATTTGAAATTTCAGGATCCATCAAAGATAACATAGAAAAGGATTAACAGACTTGACTACCTCATTATTTAGAACATCCATAAGGCCTCTAGGATCAGTACATAGGGAAAAATATGTGCCAGAAATAATCACAGTAATATCCCAAATAAAACACAACTATAAGAAAGCATCATTATTGGCTAGTTCACAATGATGAAGTTCAAGAGTACTTATATTTTTAACATGTAGAATTTATTATGTTAAAAAACTGGAAATAAGCATACATCATTAGGAAGATCATTAAAAGAAATCACAGCATTACAAAGGAAAGAAATGTCTATGACACATTGTAAAAAACCCATTTATGTTTTTTTAAAGTCAAAATGAAACAAATGATGGTAAGGTGTGTGTACTTAATTGTGAATGGTAGTTCTGAAAAGTAGGCATTCTGAAAGATGATGACTTTGACCTTGTATTTCTTCTTTTTTCTTTTTGTATCTTTGTAAGGGTCTATAGGGCCTCACTACATAGATTTGTTCAGCCTTCCAAGAGCTGGGACTAAAGATGCGTGCCAGCACGCCCAGTCTCAATCACCATCTCAGAGTGCCCCGTGGGCAGGGCCAGCAAGGCATGCTGGGGATCAAACCTAGGCCAGCCACTGCATCTGCCTAAGCAGGCACTTTAATCTGCTGAGCTATTTGGCCAGCCCTTCTTTACATGTTTAAAGTATTTCAATATTGGTTTGAAGGTCTTTTCCCCCTTCCTGTAAAAAGGGGTTCAAGATTACTTGTACAATCAAAAACAAAACAACAAAAATAACAGCGAGGCCAGGGAGATGGCTCAGTAGAGTAAGTGCTTGCCTGGCAAGCACAAGGGCCTGAGTTCAATCCCCAGTTCCACCAAAAAACAAAACCAAACACACACACACACACACACACACACACACACACACTTAATACAGCATATACAACATTTTAAAACTATGAAACAAAGCTCTACTTCAATTATAATGCAGATACCCACTGACAAATTTTCCAAATTCCAGAAGTTTTATGAAATTATCATGTTTTAAAAATTTAACCCTGCATTTCCAAATAGTAGGGGGAAAAAAACTTTTAAAAATTATCAAATACATTTGGTTATCACTTATAATGTCAGGTATTCTTACCATGTGCACTCCTTTAAAATGAATTCATTCTCGGATAGTAAGAGTGGACATTAAACAAAATATTTTTCCAGAGAAAATGTGACCCAGAATCAAAATACACCTTTATCATTCCTCTACCTCCTGTGTAGATGGAATGCACTGAACCATTCCAAGATACATTTTGTATGTAATGTTCTCATCCATATGTAGTTTTACTCTACCATCTGATTAAAAGCAATCTAAGGAAGACACAGGCTGATCACATTTCTTGTTTCTTTCACAACATATTGAGACTGAATTTAAAAAAAAAATTTTAAGACAAGATTTTTACAATTTTTTATTCAGAAAAAGATTTGTAATAAAGGAACACCTATACAAGCTAATATAAATAATTAAGGCTGCAAAGACACTCAAAACAGGAACAGAATTTTCATCTCATGACCTGCCTAACTGAATCACATTCATTCCTTTCAAAGTATGTGTAACCAGGTATGGTAGCACATGCTTGTAACCCCAGTACTTGTAGGAGACTGAGGCTGGAGGATTACAGGTTTGCGTTCCTCTTGGGCAACTTAATAACTCAGGAAGATAAAAAAAAAAAAAAAAGGGCTGGGATGTAGCTTAGTGCAAAGACCCCGTGTTCAATGTATAGTGCAGCAGAAAAAGAAAAAAAAGTGTGGTATTTCCATTTCCAAGGGACAGGGGCTCCCAATTAAACTGCTAGTGTTTTATCATTTCTTTCAGGTGGCCTATCAATCCTTTTTCCCAGTAGAGAACAGCTTTTTTATAAATTTTTAGTTTATGTAAAATTTTTTTATAAATTTTTATAGCTATAAGCCACTTTGGCAATAGTACAAACAGTCTCTGGAAATCAGTTCTCTCTCAAAGTGCTGGTAAGAATTACTTAAAGAACTACTGTTTCAGATAAACTCTTCGACTCAACTAACACACACTCTTGGTTTTCATCTTAAAGTTGTTCAAGTCTCATATTTGGACTAAACTCATATTTAAGTGGATGCATTAATGTAGAACTTTGAAAGCTTTTGGTCTTCTTGTTTATACCCTCAGGTATGAGATGTGTAAAACTTCAGTTTTCTTTCTTTTTTTGGTTCCTGGAATCAAACTCATGATCTCACATTTGCCAGGCAGGTACTATGCCACTGAGCTATATTCCTAATCCCTGAACTTCAGCTTTCCTTAACTTTACAGTTATCAGTCTAGCTAGTTGAGCTGTATCCAGACACAAGATTAGCCAACAGAGCCAATACAAGGGTTTCTAAAGATTCCCTTATTCACTAAACAATTGCAAACATTCTGGAAATGTTGAAATAAACCTAAATAATACAATTTAAAAAAAAATGTGTATGTATGAACTCAGAATGCTGCATGCACATAAGGCCTGGAGAATTACGAACAGAAGCTGGGCATGGTGGGACACAACTGTAATCCCAGCTCTCAGGAGACTGAAGCAGGAGGAACACCATGAATTCGAGCCCAGCCCCAGCTACACAGTTCAAAGCCAGACTGAACTTCATAGTGAGACCCTGTCTCAAAAACAAAACAAAGAAAGATTAGAAACAGAATAAATCTTAAAAATCACTTATATTAGTTTGACACTTTACTTTCAATTCTGAACTTTAATACTTATTTGGGATTGACAGTTAAGATCTGAAATTTTCATTACTTCTTAAAATTTAATGTAGGAGTAATTCTCTGAATACTGTGAACTTTTAACAAATTTCAAATAGTCTCATGCAAGGAAAAAAGTATCTAAAACCAATTCATACAGATACATACCACTTTTCTGTAATGGTTCAGAATTCTATTTCAATATTGAAAGTAAAAAGTAGTATAAATCTGTATATTATTATTCACCTCATCTTCAGAAATAAACAATGTTGGAGAAAGCAACTGGGAAAGGAGCCTAACCTTTGGTGGGAAGCTAGGTTTGTCACCAAGTGGCACAGTGACAAAGTGGATGTTGGACAAATTTAAAATGTTTTGTTACCTGCAAAAACAAGGAATGGATTAAAAGGTCTTTTCAAATTTTTATTCTGGGCTGGTGAGATGGCTCAGTGGTCTAAAGCATCTACTTAGAACAAGCTTAGCAAAGCATGTGGACCGCGGTTCAATCCCCCAGCACCACATGCCAGCCAGCCCCGCCCCCTGGTGGGCTGAGCTGGCCACACACACACACACACACACACACACACAAAAAATAAATAAAATTAAAAAAAAATTTTATTCTTCTGACTCTAGGAACTCAGATCACAGAAAGATGTATATATACATATACAAGTGCAACCACACAGGCCACGGAAGTGTTTAAAAATAAATGATGAAGATTTAGTGTAAAGGCAGATTTAGTACGATATAACACCTAGCCTCTTGATTCTGGATAAGCATATGTTGTTCTTTATGTATTACAAGAATGTGATTTTTAAAAAAAAAATTTTTGTGGCCAGCTCAGCCCACCCTGGGAAGCAGGGCTGGCACAGCATGTGGTGGTGGGGATCAAACTGCTGGCCCTGAGCTTACCTAAACTTGCCTAAGCTGGTGCTTTAGACTGCTGAGCTATCTCACCAGCTCCATGATACTTTTGTTAGTACTTAAAAGGAAAAACTGCCTCAAGTGTAGAAGTTAATGAAGGGTCCCTCTCACACAGTAAACAGTTTCTTGCCTAGTATTCTTTGCTCTGATCATTGATATGTCAGCATCATTTAGTCACTCATTTTCT